GCGGTTATAATAATCCTTTTCAGGTTTTTAACTTGGTTTGTTCGTGTTGTTCTACCTTAATTGTTGCATGGTAGTGTAGTGCGATGTCAAAGTACATCTAGCCATGGTGCCCGTCGCCGTTTGACCTTCGATCAACCAATCTTTCGACCGGCCAAATGACTTTCACCACACCTCCCCATGCCCTTTCTCGGCCAAGGTTGCAACACGGTGAGTAACTGTATGCCCTGAGGCTTTACGTCTACCGAAAAACCTGTAGACAGCTTAGTCCATTGGCATGGAACGACCGACTCCTATCAAAGACGCCGCTGTCCATCGTCTTGCAAAGTCCATTACTCAACTGACCCTCTGCCAAGTCACTACCAGCGAAGTCGATGATGCCACTAAACTTCTAGAGAAGGCCCGACAGAAGCTTCAAGGCATCCAAAACATCCCATCCCAGAGGGTCGTCGACCTTGAGGCGGCTATACGCCAACTCCGTCAGATTGGCTGTATCTTGGATAGTTGTGCAATATCTGCCAGTTACGAAGTAACCCAGGCGCAGAAAGCCATACTGCAGCTTCACCATACAGCCAGGGGAGCCAGCACATCATCAGAAGAACTCAATGCACAGATATCCCCACGCACTGATGACGAGTACAATCTCCCATACCATGAAGACGAATTGCAAGAGCACTAGCACATTGGTACATACCGCAACCGCAATTTTGATGCAGTATGATGATTGGAAAAGCAGTTCTGAGCGGACTCTGAGTGTGCCCTGAGTGCCGTAGCCTCGCTGTCATTTTCACCTGGTGTTTGCTTCAAAGTGTCAGGGTGAATGTCATGCCGTGAAGGCTGCTCTTTGTGATCTCGGGGATCCTGGCTGGGGGGATCCCTGGTTTCCGCATTGAGCTTTGTTGCTTCCTGCACCCTCTGAAGTGGCCCATGGTGATTTGTGGTTGGTCCTGTTGTTGTTTTGTTTTATCGGCCTGCGTCAACATGGCACATAAGTTGTCATCTGCATGCGCCGAGATGATACTAAGCTATCACCTCTTGCCTCTATAGATCTTTTTCACCCATAAACTGGAACTGTCACGTCACTGCTTTGTGGTTGTGTGGTTGTTTGCTTTTTGTGTGTTTTGTTTTTGTTTGGTTTTGTTTTTGGTGTTGTTGTTGCTTTTGCTTCTTTGTGCTTCGTTTCTTGTTCTCTGATGAACGTGACAAGGGAATAGGACTATGTATCGGTCCTCTACCAGTTTACTTTTGCGGCCACTACAGCTTCGGCCCCTGCGTGAATTAATTAATTAATCTCATATGCAACATGCTTGGAAACATGTTGAACGACCTGGCGGAAGCCATACGGCGTTGGACGGAAAAAAAAAGACCAAGATGCGCCTGATAGATGATTTCAGCATCAGCGGCGTGAACGACAGTTGTGACTTGCACATGGTTGACACCTTTTGCTCTTTGATGCGTTGCTATTTTGAGTCTTGCAAGGCTGCCAATTGTGACAGCAGCCTCCTGGCTAAAACTTACGATCTTAATAACGCATACCGTCAGGTGCCAACTCATCCAGGCCACTACAAGTATGCATATTTCAGCTTGTACAATGTGCAGCGTGGCCGTGTAGAGATCTACAGGCTTCGCGCCATGCCCTTTGGTGCCACCCATAGTGTCAACAGGTTTTTGAGGCTTGCCTGGGCCCTGTATGCCATTGCCACCAGAGGGTTGTTTCTGATGTGCACCTTTTATGATGACTTCATTCTGGCATCCCGAGCTTCCTTGTGTGACTCTGCGAGGAACAGCATGGAGCTTGTCTTTGAGCTCACAGGTTGGTTGCGCGCCCGTGATGGCAAAAAGTGCACAGAGTTTGGACAGTTTTGCAAAGCCGTGGGAATCGAGTTCAACTTTAGCAAGACGGTGCAGGGCATCCTAGCAGTCTGCAACAGTGAAACCAGGAAGAATGAACTTGTCCAACAGATAGCAGAAGCCGTTGTCCCAGGGTGCCTGGACAAGCAGCAGTCGCTTGTGTTACGAGGCCGGTTGGGCTTTGCAGACAGTTTTTTGCATGGCAGACTTGGGCGTTTGGTCTTGTCCAAGCTAGTGGAACATGCGTACGGACGCCAAAGACAGATGGAACCTGACCTTATTGCAGCCTTGAAGGCCATGTCTGACAGACTTCAACATGCCAAGCCACGTGAAGTCATCACTGCAGACAATTTGTGGTTTATGTATACGGATGCAAGCTACGAAGGGTCCTCCTGCACAGGCGGCTTGGGAAGTGTCTTGATTGATGCAACCGGTAATGTCAAACAGTGGTTTGGCATTTTTCTGAACGAAGCGCAATGCAAATGCTTTGGTGCAGGGGAAAAAGAGACCATTATCTACGAGCTTGAAATGGCAGCAGCTGTCGTGGCATCAGGTCACCGACAGACAAATGACTTGCATGTGCACTTTGGAGATAACGACTCAGTCAGGTTTTCATTTGTTCGAGGTTCAGCCTCGGGCTTGGTTGGACAGAAACTGATCGAGTTCCAACTGACCTTGGAAGCACATAGCGGCTCTCGTACTTAGTATGCACGTGTGCCAACTGAGGCCAATGTGAGCGACTTTCCATCACACTTGCAGGAGCATAGCAAGCTGCAGAAGGACCATGATGTAACTGCTGAAGCAACTGCTGTCATGGACAACTTGTTACAAACGTTGTGCTTGGTTGGGAATGCTTGATACAAATGGGGGAGGCAAGACAACCATTCCCCGGTTCAAAAGAAGTGTCTGCAATTTGAATTTTGTCACTGCTCCATGCAACGTTGACGATGAAGCTTGCGTAGCAATCGAACAGTCAAATGCGAAGTGGAAACAAACGAGGTTTGTGTGCAGTGACTGTTTTCATTTTACTTCCTTGCAATGTGAGGTTCAAAGGGTAGGGTGTGGTGGGCGCTCCTTCGCTCATTGCAAGTCGCAAAACTTGCCCACCCTCTACCGTCCAGTTTGGGCCTTGCCAACTTGTGAGACCAGCGAAGACGCACAAATCGAGAACTTCATTTGCAGCTCCAGTGGGCGAAACTGCCTACCCAACCGTCCGGCAAGACAACCATTCCCCGGTTCAAAAGAAGTGTCTGCAATTTGCATTTTGTCACTGCTCCATGCAACGTTGACATTTCTAATGGCGCTGAGCTTCGCAAAATCCGTCAGAAAACCATGGAGGTTTTAAAACTCTGTGCGATCTTTGGGCACCTGTGGCACCGATGGAGTGCCCGGTGAAAGATGGATTTGCAACCGACCATCCTGGGTCAACAACCGATGAATCATGATGGACACCCAATAATAAAATCAATAATCAGCCTACCATTTGGGGGTGGTTCTAACCCCACCAATTTCGTTTTTTCTTGGGGATGGTTTAGGGTTTAGGATTTATATCGCATTCTGGGTATGATTCAATTGAGAAATAGAATAAGACCGACCAACATGCACTTATGAGATGGAAATCAAACATGGCGCTGGCTGAAATTCCATGATAGAGGAACGCTTTTTTATTGTCAGCTCGGAAGAAGCATACAATTGATCATTGATCACTCCAACTCCTTTTTAAATGTAGGGTGTTCAGTCCTTTTGGAGTTCAAACCGCTTTGCCCCAATCAAAAAAAAATATCTTGTGCTGGCCTGGGAAATTCGTATGCCATACAGACAGCATGGAGGGTTCGGCCAGACTGCATTGCGTGACGTTTTACCCACAACATTTTCACATATTTTCACTGTGATTGTTATTCTGCAAGATCTCAAAGTTTACACGGCGACACAATGCGACACATGCCAGACCCAGTTTTTGAGATTATTGCAATCACCAAAAGGATAATTCTGCCGGCGATGCCGGCATGGAGCTTACCAAAGCATCTCTCAAGTCTCGACCACAAGGAGTTTGAACACAGCGTCATATCGGATGCTTTCTGGTTTTGTTTTGCTTGGAAACCAACATACTTTTGCTCACTTTTGCTTCAACTTTTGCTCACCCATTGTTGATGACTCAACCAGTATTCTTGGTGATTCAATCGATTCTTGGTTTTTTCTCACCAGCGTTGCTGGGTCAAAATGGTGAATGATCACCATGCATTTTGTGCTTACCTGGTTTATCCCCAGGGTTTAATAAATAACCTGACAAATTTATTGATTGAACTAGATTGATTCCACATTTCCTAAGCATGTGTTCCGCATTTGTTGTGAATTCATGTCCAATCCATCTGAAAAAATGCACTTTCGGAGTGCCTTTGCATGAAGGTGTCCAACCAAAATGAAAACAATTGGATTTTGCACACAGTGTCAATGTCAAGTGTCTTTTTTTGGGCGCTTCCAGTTTGAAGAAATGCAGTGCACAATGATGATGTGTTGAAATTCGATTTCTTGTTGCGAACGTGCCTCAATTCCCCGCACATGTGGATAATTCCAACTTCACATCCTATCGGTTTTCCACAGCCAAACTTTAAGTTTTGTGGAGCCATTTTAGCTGAAGAACAGGTGCAACGGTGCAAGTACAAACTGTGCAGCCAAGATACAAAAAATATTGTGCAGTCGGGACTTTTGACGTCAACAGCAATCTGTTGCAAACTCTGGATGCTGAAGTTCAGTGATCCTGGTAAATGTGCATTTTGACATTTTGAAATCATTTTACATTCTGCCAGCTGTTCAAAACAGGCCTTTTTTGCTTTGAAGATCAACAGCCCACGAGCAAAAGTTGCTACTCTTACAGGAATTGCTCACCCTCCTGAAATCATGGCCGAAGCAATCTGGGAACATTGTGGTTTCTCGGATGTTGCAGCCCAAAGGCACATTGCTGGGGTACCAACAGGTGCCCGCAAAAAATCGTCAGATTTCTAGTGTCAAACTGTGAAACGCTCCGTTTTCATATGAAGTCTCCATCATTGATAATCGATACCTCTCCGATACCTCTCCGATACCTCTCCATTTCTTGGGGTGTTTGTTGCTGGAGCCAGAGCCAGTCACCTTGGAGTCTCTCGTCCAAGGTTATGTCGGGCTTTTTGCTGATGCCTACGTTGCAGGGTTGGGTGCTGAGAATGTGGGAAACTTCCCCTGGCCATAAAGGACTATAGTATCTATAGCTGCCATAAAGAACTACAGAACATATACATCCATTTATGGCAGCTACAGTATATACAGTTGGGGATGTTTTGTACCATCGATTTATGGCAGCTATAGTTCTTTTCATCACCATAAATGGATGGAACAAAACATCCCCAACTATGGTTCTTGGTGATTTTTGGCACGGTTGGCATTGGGTTAACCACATGATGTGTGTCTGAAATGTTGTTCCTCTTCGAGTTGCCATGACTCTTCCATTTCTGGACAAACCCACTTATGATACACACTGTGTATTGGGTTGGTATTCATGATGGATACATATAAATAGTATATGTATATATAGATAGAAAGATAGATAGATAGATAGATAGATAGATACATACATACATACATACACAGACATATACATATACACATACATATACACATACATATACATACATATACATACATATACATACATATACATACATATACATACATATACATACATATACATACATATACATACATATACATACATATACATACATATACATACATATACATACATACATATACATACATATACATACATATACATACATATACATACATATACATACATATACATACATATACATACATATACATACATATACATACATATACATACATATACATACATATACATACATATATATACATATACATATACATGCATGCATACATGCATACATACATGCATACATACATACATACATACTTACATACTTACTTACATACCTACCTACCTACCTACCTACATACATACATACATACATACATACATTTTGGCGACCGGGACAACTCATCTTTTTTTACCAGGACGGAACTGGAGAACGGGCACATTGCCAATTCGTTGCTCTTTCTGCAGCTGCTTTTGAAGAAGGCCATAGAGCGTGGACAGGGTGCGGGAGCCGAGGGGCCAAGGGCTGATTTTTTGACCCAAAAAATGAATGGCGATCAAAACGGAAAATCCGAACTGAAAATGGATGAGAACTGGGAGTAGCGTGTTCCCATTTTAGGCAGTCCCCATAAAACGCGAAGATTTTTCTTCGGCATTTTGGAGGTCCATTGGTTTGAATGTGTTGAGCCATTCCCATTTCATGGTTGCAGATGGTGTAGGTCAAAAGGCAGGGTGTTAAGAAGACGAGGTTTTGGAATATGTACGGTACAACTGTTGAAGGAAATCGGGCACATTGAATGATGGTCCCACTCAGTCTTGGTGCAGGCTGTTGCTATCCTCTATGAAGTTTGGTCACCATATGGTTTGGAGAGAATTCAACACAAGCTAGGTGGTGAGATCGTGAAAAACCCTTCATTTGTTGCGTATGGAAACTGGTGGTTAAAGGAAACTGCAAGGATACCAAGCAAGTACCTACAGTACTTGAAACATGGTTTCAGTGTTTGTTTTCTGTGCTGTTTTGAAACTGGATGATTGGGAGGAATTCAGTGGTTTTGGAAGCTTTAAAAAAAGTGCCGTCAGTTGAATACGTTCCCATCATTGTTGCCTGGTGAAGTTCCTTCTTGTGGCAGATCCTGGGCATTTTGGTGAAATCATGTCAATCCACGTAGTTTTTTTTGGTGATTTCACCCAAAGTTTGCAGGTCAAAATCAAGTGAGTTCCCACTTTTGGAGCTGATTTCCCTATCTTTTTGGACCAAATATCCCCCTTCTGGATCCAAGTCCTCTTTCTTGGGTGATTCCCTCCATTCGGCAGGAATTGAGGCACGTCTGTCGCGTCTGTCAGAGTTGCTGGCGAAGAGTGTGACTGCAGCACAGCAGGTCCTCCGCGCACAGAAGCCGACGCTGGGACGACTGGGACGACTTGGATGACTGGCCCAGGATAGGTTTAAACCTATAATGAAATTATGGGAGAAACATATAGAAACATCCGAAAAAAATCCCAGCTATGTGGGTATGAGTCAAAACCTTGGTACCCTTGTAGTTCACATCAAAATAGCTGGGATTTATGGATGTTCATCCCATTAAACATGGTATTTTCATAGGTATTGATCCATAGCCATGTCAAGACAAAAGGTTCCATGGAACTCCCTGATATTTTTTTGCGTCGAGAATGGGGTGGTGGTTTTTGTGCCGATGATTGGGGATGTCACCGCTGGTAAGTTATCTGGCGATGAAAATGGGTCGATTTGGAGATCACAAAAACCATGGATATGTTCAAACATATGTTGAGATGGTGTTTTTCCATAGCAAACTGTTACTATCTTGCTGGATGGCTTGAGACTGACGAATTTCATGGATCTGGGTGTAGTGAAAAAACCGTGGAAAAGCCACGTCAGCGTGTTTGCAGTGTGTAGGTTTCCTGGAAAATGTTCTTTGAAACAATTTTGAGGCGATATATCTTTTGCATCCATGTTCATGTTTTTTCCCAAAAATAAAGATCATATATCAAGCACTTACATATCTCCAGCCGATTGGAGGACGTGGATGTTACTATCTCTTAGATAACTGGATAGCTGATAGACCTGAGCCGGCCTTTTTTGGTAGATTCAGAGATATCAGAGATAGCAAAAAAAACCAGCCAAGGATCTGTACTCTTCTGTAGATTTTTTGGCAATTCACTGATGTTTACCCCTGGTATTCTACAGAGAGCCTGGAGAATCGGCCCCCATAGCCTACAACTTGCAACTGGGTATTCACTCGGCTGCGGGCATTTTCCTGCATCAAGAACTAGGTTGAACTCATGGTTGACAAGCAGTTATCCACTTATCCACATTTTCGAATCGTTGTATCACCTTTAATGGTGCTTCAGAATGGCTAGTCGGCTAGTCGTCAATATTCTGGGTGGTTTTTTCATCAGTTGCGAGGTCAGAATTGCTGGTCCTACTGCAGAACTGGACTGCTCTCCTGGAACAACTGGGGCCTCAGGAGCAGCTGTTGGTGCCCGGGGGTTGGCGAGGCAGCAGCACCAATTGGGTTTTCTCGGCAGCAGGAAGCTCTGGGGACTGGGGATGGGAAGCTTACTCTGAAAACGAAGCCACAGAAATGTTGGAAAACAGAAGGTCCTCACCGAACAGAAATGACATGTTTACTCATGTTTTCGTGGTTCAAAGGCTTCAAAGGCTTCAAAGGTCCAGTTATCCTAACATCTTTCGCCAAACCCGTTTCAAAGCTCAGGTTGTCTTCCTGGTCGAGCGTGACTTGATGCCGATGCTAGCAGTTTCGGCACTTCCACCAGGGTCAAATGGGCCAAGTGATCAAGTCTCAATGAATTCCTTGGAGCCGGAACCCACCAAAATCAGCTTCATCCCCCAAAAAAGATTCTCAAACATATGACATCTAATAATCTAATATGACATCTAATATGACAACATATGACTCAGATTCGTATTTCCCCATGTATAATAATATATATATATATATATTCGCTGATTTTTTCTCTTGTTTTGGCCCCACCTTTCACCCCGAGGCACCAGCGAGGACTTCTACTCCTTCTCGGTTTGCAATCGGGGGCCGACAGCGGCCCAGTACCATCCCAGTAAATTTCTGGCCGATGGAGCCTATGGAATCTTGGTGGCAGTGAGTCTGGCAAGAATCCTCTATCCATGTGGAGGTTGAGCTGGGAAAGTCATCTGTTTTTTTTTCTGGGGGATTTCCAATAGCTATGTTTGAAGACACTGGAGGGCGACCACTGGTTGATTCTTATACCCTGACATTGATTTAGAAACTTTTTTTTTTGGCGTGGGGTGTTACACCCAAGAGTTTTAACTTCATATCTTTGCATGCAATCATTTGATGATTTGTTCTGACAATAGAAACCCATTGAACAACCGAGGGCTTGTGCATTCGTGCATTCGGCTCGAAAGACACTGCAAAGTAGATCGAAGACACAGTTGGATATCTTGGAACAGGAATACTCCAACAACTCTGAGACGACGAAAGTGGACCACAAGGTTTTGTCACGGGGTCCACTTGGGTATGGGTCGTATACCTGGTTCCACATGTCGAAACTGCACTTTTGACATCCTTTAAACATTTTTTAACCTTGCAATATTGAGGAAAATGATGGAAAATTACATCATCCCCGGGTTTTTCAGAAACTTTGCTGGGGAAACGTTTTTTCTTTTCCCAACCCACGAGGCCAGAAGCTGAAGATTTTGGCCACGTTGACCCTCGAAGACGTGCCGAAAACACGTCTCTGCGACCCGGGCTTTTGGGCGCTGGCCTTTGGACAGTGGGTGCCCAATGCCACCGAGTATCATCGAGCTGAGGCAGACTTGGGGTATCTTGGGGTCATGTGTTGATACATAGGCTTGTAATGTATATATATACAGCATATATGCATACATCATATATATATAAATCATATATCTATACATAGGGTTATACACATATACATATGGATATGTTAGACATAGATATACACATTCTGTGTAACGATGTATTGCAGACTCTGGGGAAATGGGGACAACCATCCACCATGGAAGTCCTCAGATTGGCAGAAGGTGCCCATGAAAAGTATGAAGGTTGATAATGCTTGATGGTCACAGGCGGAGAAAGAGAGGTTTACATACCGGATATGTTTGGAATCCCCTGGTTGTATGACCCAGCCTGCGTGTGTTTGGTGTTTTGACCATGCAGAGTTTTGAGTTTCAGCACCCCAGGAGCCAGGACAGTCCTCGGACCAGGTTTTGACCCCAAACTTGACCTTAACTCCACTCCATTATAGGTGAATTATAGCCACAAGGGGGAGAAACTAGTCATAACTAGTCATAACTAGTCATAACTAGTCACAACTAGTCATTTTAAAATTATCTACCCAATTTTTCCCTGGATGATCCTCTCCAAAAGACTCTGAAAGTTGTGTAGGTTCTCTATGACGTGCTTCTGCCCTGGCTTGCGGGTGTGAGCACAGGGCGTTTGACCGAAAGGCTGGCGGAGTGTCGCAGTGATGGTGCTTGGCGAACTCCTTGTCGCTTGGTACGTCTTGGTACCATTGGGGATGGTGATCACCTGGGGATGGTTTATGATGGGGTGAATCCCACGGCAACCATTGGATGGCCATCCAACTGTTTGGTGATGAGTGGCTGGTGGACCCGGGACCCTGATGGCCGTAGCGAAGCCAGCGGCTTCGCCGCCAAGTCTTCCCAAAACCTGAGGTCGATCGAACACTTCGTGCATGAAGAACTTGTTGGAGGCTCTGAGCCTCTGAGCTGCCTGATGATCAGATATAACTCACTTCTCTCATGGCAACTTCGAATTTTTGAGACCTTGATTTAGACACCATTTGGATTTCAAATGCAGAACCAAAGATGGGGGTACTCACCAGAAACGAGCGTTAATGGGTGAGACCAACTCCACCCCTTTGGACCAGCAGTAGAATTCAACCAGCGATGGCCTTAAGGCACCACATGACCTGGAAAAAAGGCGAATCCCCCCAGCAAAATCGGCCCCCGATTTTGCTCGACCAACTCTTTAGAGTTTCTTGGGTTTTTTTTCTATCGCGTGTCATTCCCAAAGGTCAGTCTCTTCTTGTGAAATACCTCCCAATTGAGAGTGTGGTTGAATCTGTTGACGAATGAATTCAGCGGCCAAAAGAAGGGGACACGTCCATTGCTCCCATCTATCCAACAGTAAATACCTCCGCAAAGATGGCTCCCCCAATGTAGCCCCAGTCATAGATGAACAAATTGGAAAACCTGAAGAATATGGAGGTGATATATCCGCATCCTTGGTAGAGACTCATTTATATATATATATTTCTATGGACCAGTGATATGTTTTCCAAGAGAAACTGGTATCCCCGAAAATTCCCATCTTGGACAAAAAATCTGTTGGAACTACTTGAACGATACTGGTATTTTTCCACCCTAAACTATACAAAACAGAGCCAGGCTGAAGACACCGATCCTCTAGTGATCATCGTGGCAAATCCATGCTTTTTGTCATCATGATCCCACTATGATCCCAATATCATCCCTATTAAAACCATCTAAAACCCACAGATTTCTTATATATTTGGAGGGTTGAATCTTGTATCCCCAGTATTATCCCCAGAGTATCCCAATCACCATCAATGACCATTATTAACCATGAATCACCATCTATTATCCATCTATTATCCATCATTAATCTAAATGATAAATAAATTATTAACCATCATTAAGCATTATTATCCCCATCATATCCCAGTTTTGATGCTTCAAATCTGCAATTCCATCCCACCACCAGGCCTTACGTCTCTGCAGCGGCCGCTTGCAGCTTCCCTGGCGGCCCCTGTTGCGTGCGCTGCGGCGGGAAGGCTTGCTTCTAGCCGCAGAGGCAATTTCCTGGGAAACACCGGGGATTTTGATATAAAAAACACGGGATAATTATGGCTAAAAAAAACATGATCTTTTTGGGGGGAAAACCTGGGATTTTTACGAAATTTCGATAGTTATTGAAATTTGGAAGCCAACAACCAGAGGTTTCAATACGATTTTATGGTCTGAGGATGATTTATGGGGTACAGCCATGACTTCGGAAACCTCTAGGGAAACCTCTGGGGATTCCAAGATACCATGACAAACATTTTTGGCGTCCTGAAAGACCAAGTGTGGAGAGGAAAACTCATTGGTCTCCGACTCTTTGTGACAGCTGTTTTGAGTCCATGGGAAGGTCCACTCTTTGGCAGCTATGAATTCTAGCACCTCGATGAGTATTCCTAGAATTGATCAAAAAAAATATCTGCAGGTCAATTTACTAATTCATTTTCATAGAAAAACATGTATATATATATATACATATATTGTTTTCTATTTTTTTCCTGGGGTTTGCCTGAAAAACGATATCTTCTAATTGCCGCGGTCAATCCATGGCCTTGAGTGTGTCCAAAAATGGGACCCCGAAGTTATGGCCGGTTGAAGGGGGACATGATGATCATGAAATCTTGTTTTTCCAAAAACGTTTCAGGTACCAAACCCATGTGTGTGTATAACTATATATAATTAGATTATATATATATATACATGAATGAATGAATGAATGAATGAATGAATGAATGAATGAATGAAGAAACACATACATAAATAAACCAATACATATATATATATATACACATACACACACAAACATGTACATACATAAAAACCATGAATGGGTGAATCCCAGCTGTTTTGATGTTCCCGTTGACGGGATTGATTCACCATGGCAGGAGCTGACGATGCGCAGCGCCTGTGTGTCGCCGGCCGCGCAGGCGGCATGGAGTTTGCTGGCAGCCTATGGGGCAGCGCCACCCAAGCTGCGACAGGAACAGCTGCCCAAAGTGGTGCCTCAAACCTGTCAGGTGCGGATTTTTTGGGATTTTCTGGATGTTTGGAGAATTTCTAAAGATTTCAAAGCCAGATTTTGTGGAATTGGAAGGAAAGAAAGGGAATGAAGCAGAACGTTTCTCTTTCTGAAGTTTTTATTTTCACTTTTCATAACCGAATGGGTAAATGATGCTTAAATCTTGTGCCAAACCAACCCCAGACATACAACAGGACCTAGGTGGGGACAAGACGGTTTCACTTTTTTTGCATAGGGATTGTCTTGGAGAAAGAAAGGTCAGGCAATTATTGTCATTTTCATGGAGAACAAACTTGAACCACACTTAAACGAACGAAATGAATTTGTGCGGTGTGCTGTTTCTGACCCCCAAAAACTAGTGCTTCCATCTTTAATTCGGGGAGCGCGACAGGTAATTGCGCTGTTTTTCTCAGTGCCGGGTCAGATGGCAGATGAAGTACACAGGCAGTGGGAATGGTGTGACACATCGGGGTCTCAAGGTGGCTAAGTGGCTGTGAAGCCCCGTCCATTTTTTTTGCGTCCAAGAACCAGTTTCTGGTCATTGAACTCATTGTTTTCTCCAGTTGAAGCACTGGAAACTGGACTGCCTTCAGGCTTCTCATCCAGCTATTTCAGATTTGGGTCACATTTTTCCTTCTATGGTGGTCTTCATCATCAAATCAGTGGGAAGTCCCACATTTTGGGCTGCTGAGACCAGCATCAGTCGTGGAAGTTGACCTCCGGCCCTGGGCGCCCTGGGCCCCAGGCGCCTGTCTGAGCTTGTGACAACTGTCTGGGACAAGCACGGCGGCGGCTCCTTAATGGTTTGCGAATGCCCCTTGGGTGTCATGGCTGCAACTCCGAGTCCTGTTGAAACCCAGCTCAAAACTTGAAGCCTGGTTGGTTTAATTCGTTCGTCCTCACGAATCAACCAGGTTTCACTCATTTCATCCAACATTTCCTATTCAAAATTGTGGATTGTCACAAGTTGACCTGCAGAACCCCAGGTTGCCATAACTGCCATAGCAAGTGCCCCTCCAGGATGGACAGCAACTGGCCCAGTGATTTTCGACGCAGGTGATGCCCCAGAGCGTGAGTGGCCACGCGTGGCGAATGCTGCATCTATGGCCAAGACCTACGGCTTGGACGAGGTGCGTTGACCTTGGACGAGTGAAACCATCACTGCAGTAAATTACCCTCTGGTAATTTAACATAGCTATTGAAAATGGCCATAGAAATAGTGAGTTTTCCCATCAAAAATGGTGATTTTCCATAGTTACGTTAGTTTACCAGAGGGTAACAGACCTATGGTGACTTTTGATGGCCCATTTAGTTTGATGATTGCCCGTTTTTGGAAATGCTGACTTTTGATGGCGAAAAATTACCAGAGGGTCGTCTGACTAGTCCGAAGCCAGGATGGTTTAATGATTCTTTGGCTCAAGATTTAACACCAAGAACGTCCGCACTTCAGTTTTTTTCCATGGTCAAATGGTCCATTTGAAGGTATCCACAATTGACCCAAGATTTCAAGTTGATGAATTACGATTAATTTTTGCATAGTAATGCCGATAATACACATTTAACAACATGTTATAGATTATATAATACATAATATATTATTATATATAATATACTACATATAAATGATATATGTAATATTTCACTCGGCCAGATTTTTTTTCACTTTCCAATTGCCATCAGGCGTTGACGGAACCGCGGGTGTTGCTCTTCCGGGCTGATGGACAGCTCCAAAGTAAGGCGCAGCACCGGTATGCACTTATCATAATCACTTCTGGGGAACCTCCATGCTTCACCCTATACATATACATATATGTATGTATATATATATATGTACATATCTACATACATATGTGCATATTATATATATATACACATGTATATATGTATATATGTATATATGTATATATTCATAGACCCAATTTGAGCACAGGCAAAACGAGCCCTGTGTTCCAGACACTTTCTCACATATGTCAGAAATATTGAAATGGCCTTATTTTTCACTATTTGCTCCTTGTCGTCCATTATTTTCCATTATTTTTCCTTATTTGTCGCTACTTTACCTGGAATTTATGTTTCACCAGTTTTCCTTATTTGTCACTATTTTTCCTTATTTGCCATTATTTGTCCTTATTTGTATTTAGTTTACCATGGCCTCCTTTTGGGTTATCCTGTATGGATATACAGAAAATAACGTATGAACACACAAGTATCACTCCTTTAGTCTGGGGATCCATACATGAATATTGGATCCAATAGATCGGTACAGGCGAAGTGAGAAGGTCAATGATACAATTTGTCGGTTGGTCGCGTGTCATAGAGTCGTGAAAAATATAATGGGTTAACTGTGCATTCTAGAATCTTATCATATTCCTCGTAGGACTATGCAAATAGACAGATACACACAACATCACAAAATTAATATGCTAATTGAGTATGGCCTCAAATCCACTGGGATGGTTTTAACATTTTCTAATACGAAACACAGCCTATTAGTTCATGGGAAAATTGCGGGATTTTCCAAGATTTTCCCATGAAAATTTTCACAATCCGGGACACCAAACGCCCTTCGCCACGAAGGAAGGCCTCCGCATCATCTTGAAGGACCCCAGCGGCAGA